AACCAGAACAGGCGTTAAATCCAGTAGCCTTATGGCTTCATTTCGCTACTGCCAATCGAACACCCAACCTAATTTTCATCTTCACCGTGTCCGATTTCGTGGAGATAGTTCAATTTTCTGTACGAGAGGGGGGTTCTACACATCGATCCGGAGCTTCTGCGGCTACATATCCGGCGTCCAGCACCAATTTCTGAGCGGCTTCCATGGAAAGAAACTTCTCCCCGTGGTAAAGTTCCCCCGACCAAACGGTAAGCCACTCTTCGTACTGTGCATTTCCGGCGCCCTAACTGTGTGAATTTGCTACAACATTAAAACTACTATCATGTTCTGCACATGGGTTCAACGTGAATTAACAGCATACGTCGACACATTATAGCATAGCCGGCAGTACGAATTGAAACTTTAACTTAGACGGAAACTTCTCTTGCGCTACCCAATTCTCCGTTTTACCTGCATTACATACCGACTGCAAAACTTGGAAATTAACATCATATTTTGAGACATTTTTGCATACCCGCCAAATACGATTTCCCATGTCAACGAAGACGGAAACTACTTTTTCCTTATCGTTTTCTCCGTTTTACTTGCATTATAACCTGACTCTTACACCGATTTTCCCATGCCAGTGGTTCACAAGTGGGAGCCCCAATAAGTTGCACTCTGCTCCGTCTCAGTCGCAGGCAGCCCAGGGCAGGGTGCGTAAGATAGCGAGGTGGAACCAACTAGAGTACAAAGTATTCATCGATACCTGCGAATTAGTTGTAGCTAAAGGCCATCGACGAGGCAAATGCTTCTCCTCGATAGGATGGCATCATATAGCAGCCATGTTCAATACCTCTACGGGGAAGGATTGGACTGTATCGCAGATGAAGAACTATTGGAATAAATTGAGAACGGATCACAAATGCCTATTCTAGTTGTTGCGATGCACTGGAATTGAGTACCGATCGGGTACCGGAAGAATTCACGCCCCGGACCATTGGTGGGAAGCGAAAATTAAGGTAATCGTTCGCTTGTATCATTGAAACTTTTCATCAGAATGTACGATTAGGCAGTTCAACATTGTACATTGGACTCCATCACATTAATGTAACCTTGAAGTGGGTTTCTGGAATATTAGTCTTCCTGTGCAACTGATCTAGGCACAACTACTGGTGCATACATTTAATTCAGACCCTTAATTTACCTAAAATATTTCTCTTCTCTTTAATTACACTAATCAATCTACTAGGGTTTGATAAGGCTTCATGGAGGTGATTTGGGGTGTCATATATGAATACTAATGCTAGCATCAATTGGGATCAGACTGTTTAATTATGGTGTGTTTTTCTTACCAATATTTCGCTTATGTATGTCTTTTTAATTAAACTATCCTAATTACACCGTTTATGTTAGTTATGTTGCAGAGTCCTTTCACACCATGTCCATGATTTCAATGTTTTTGTTAAGTAAGAAGATTGATGTCAATTTTAACAGAGATGATTATTGCCAAAGTGATGAATTGGATGAAGTGTT